GACCTGAGAAATGGGGCCGCGAGGAGCACCCTGGAGGAGATCTGCTTGTTCTAACAGAAAACTGTGTTAAAGGACACCATCCAGTAAGGTGGCGCTCTGCGGAGGCTCTGTCCCCACCCCTCACCCCTAAGGCCAGCACAGGGTGAGCAGCTCAGGGCGACAAGCTCAGGCATACGGGGCCCTGGGGATGAAATATGCTGCATCCACCTCGCTCGTACGCTCTGCCTCTAGTACTCCAGGCCAAACTTTAATTTCTCTTCCTTGGGTTATTATAATATGCACTTAGAATCTTAAAAAACTAATGTTAAGACGTAATTATTAAAACAATACGTGTCTACTAAAGACAGGAAAATTACATTTAAAAAGCAATGAATTATTTTTAAAGCAACGTTTTATTAATTTTTAAATATCTTTACATGGATTCAAATTTCGAAGAGACAGAAGGACACATACCTATTCCTTCCACTTCCTGTTCCCCTAGCCACCCCTTTCCTTCGGGGGAGCATCCAGTTTTATCGGGTTCTTGTATTTGTAAGTGATTATGTACGTATTTTTCCCATTGTCATTTCCCTCCAAATGGTAGTTTGATAGACAGACAGACAGACAGACAGACAGACAGACAGACACTATTCTGTGCTTCATTTTTCGCTCTAACTTCGGGTCTTGGAGATGATTCCGAATCAGCGCATCGAGATCTTTCTGTTTTCACAGCTGCGCAGTAAGTGCAGACGCTTAGCTTGGAGGCCACTCTCTAGTCTCTCCACCGTCTGTCATTCTGTGTCACTTGATTAATTGTGCGGACATGTCACTGCCCTGCTCAGACACCTTGCGCAAACCTACCTGCCCCCACCTGCCACCAGCTGAGATGGAGCCCGCGGCCGTCCCCGACCTGACAGCACGCCGGCCACCTCGGCCAGGCCTCTCTGTCCTCCCCACGCTCTGCTCGGCCCCTTCCTGCCTTCGTCGTTTCCGCGTGTGCCTCTTGCGCGTCTCACCCCGTCCTGCCAGAAACTTTCCTCCAGGAAACCCGCAGCCCTCGGAGCTGACACCAGCATCCGCCGCTCGCCGCCGTGCTGTCTCTTTGCCTGACACACTGTCTCGCGCTGTCGCTCGGACAGGCATTGCTGCCGTCCCACCAGCCTGCGGACTCTGTGCAGGCCAGTGACTGCATTTTTCCGTGTCATTTGCTCCTTCCTGCAGTACTTCAAATCCCATCTTTGCAAGGAAATTTCAATACTGGTAATATTTGTAAGAAGGCCAAGACACCCGGCTCTGTTCGCTGAGTCACCCACAACGGGGTCGGACAAAGCAGAGTCCTCCCTGCAGAGACCAAAGCTGAATCATCCTCCTTCTCTTTCTGGAAAAACAGGCAGGAGGCTCATGCTGTTAATGCTCACGGAGCCTGCCTTGCGGGAAGTGTCTGAAGCGGGTGCAGGGGGCAGGTTGAGCCTTGGCAGAGGGACCTGCCACGCGGGGCTGCTCACGGATGAGCTGTTCTGGGCAATGTGACAAATGGGACTTTTACATTGAGCAGAACAAGCTCTGTGTCTAGACAGCTACTTGAAATTATTTTCCCCCTTTGGGCGATCTTACTGAAGGGGTGATACGACAATGTTAAGGGGGACTTTAATAACGCGACCATTTTTACTTTTACAGAACCCCTCCCGGACTTTGCCCACATTCATGCACTTTAAAAATACAGGATAGCCGTGGTCAGGGGAACGTGCCATTTGTGGATAAGTGGCAATCTTGGGAGGAACCGAGAGGAATCAGTGTCCATGGGGCACCTGTCTCACCCAGACGCTGTTCCTGTCGTCTGCTTTTCTCCCTCCTTGGTTTTGTTATGACTTGGCAGAGGTCGGTGTTTTCCTCCCTCTGTGCTCAGCGCTTCTCAGAAATACAGATCCCCGCCCTGCTTTCTCTTTCCTAAGCCAGATGCGATGGGATCGTGAGTGCTGGAGGAGAGTAGGTAAGGCCTCACCGGAACGTTTTTACCGTCCATGAACGCCTGGTGGACGGGAGGGCCGGCTCTGAATCCCCCAAAGCAGAAACGACCCAAACCTTAGATGTGTAGTTTTGAATCCGGTGCCCTCGCCACCACACTCCACACACCGCTTATCACCTCCTGCCTTTCCTGTCCCGCCCACCTGTGGAGCGTAGCCTGCCGGACTTCGCGCGGCCTCCCAGGCGCTCTGTGAACTGCTGTTCCTCTGTGTCCTCACGGCCACGTCCAGTGAGGCAGCAGGCGCTTCGTTAAACCCTTGGATGGTCCAGGTTCGAAATTCTGCCTCCGCCACTTGTCAGCTCCGTACCTTGGTCAGATCGCCTTGAAAGCAGGGCCAGTGACGGTATTTACCTCCTGGGTCGTTGAGAGGAGCCAAGGACTTAATACTTGTAAAGCATTAGGACAGAAGAACCTGGGATGTGTAAGGACTTAATAATATTAAATAGTAATAATAACATTAGTAAAAAAAATATTAGCTGTTATCCAGATTTCTTCTAATCTTCAAGGACCAGACAACAGCCCGCCTCTTAGCTGAAATCTCTGACTGGTCCTTCCCAGCCCACAATGATGTCTTACTCTTTTGAAAATATGACACGTTTGATTCTTAATTTACTTAAATAGTGCCTTGAGATAGATGTAGGATAGAAAGAAAGGAAAACAATATCAGAGTTCAGACCTTAACATCGCACTGACTGTGGTACCTCGAGGGAACTGCTTTTGAGTCTTAGCTGTGTCTTCCGTAAATGAGTATTATAGTAGTTTCACAGAATTATTGTGAGGGCCAAATAAGATGATGCTTAAGAAGTGTATCTCGTATAATCCCTGACTCACGGCAGACCCTCAATAAACACACATGTTCTTTTAAGGAATACTATTTTGAGTTCTGTTTCCCAGAATGTAAAAGTAGAATCATTGTAGAAAATTTAGATAACATAGTAGCGTATAGAGAAGGAAATCGAAATAATCCCATAAACATCTTTCTGGAGACAGCAGTTTCCCCAGCCAGTGCCTCCTGCCTTAGAAACTAAAACACAGCTAGCTGTATTTCCTCTCCTCCCCTCCCCTCCCATCTCTCCAGACACACATCTTTTAAAAAAGAAAGGAATCCTATTACATACCAATTTTGCAATCTGCTTTACATTCCCCCATCTTATCTAATATTCTTCAAAATCATGGTTTTCACGCGTTATGTAGTATCCCGTGTACATCTGATTTAAGCGTAACCGTGTTGCTGGGCACTGAGGCTGTGTTCAGGTTTTAGCTCTTCTAAGGGACGCTGTATCAATACTGAGAAAAAAGAACAAGCTGGAGGTATCACACTCCCCGCCCTCAAACTGTCCTGCAAAGCTACGTTTTCAGCTAACAGCATGCTGTTCGGATCGGTCCCACGTGACGTGAATCGTGCTGGGCCCAGCGTGTTCATGCCGTAGGCCCCACCGTTTGGTCACTCGGAAGCATCCCGGTCATCAAATCGGCTGTGGCGGCATGGTAGTGCTTTTGTTCAGGCTCCCCATTTTGTTACATCAGCCACAGGACTCTGCTAGATGTCATTCCCAGAGAAGCCCTTTGTCAGTATTTCCTAAGTGAATGAATTCCTATTCACACTGTCCCTCTGGGGTTAAGACCTGGAGAAGGGACTTGAACGGTGACTTTCAAATTGGTCAGGTTGAGAGAGAGGTGTGTGTACTTGCCTCTCCTCTCCCACTGAGGCGAGCTGGGTAGGAAAGTGTTAAATCGCAGGTAATTAGATCCAGACTTCAGAGGCTTGGGCGAGGGACCCGAGGGACCCGGGTCCAAGAGAGAAAGCGAGGTGCTTCTGTGGGCTGAGGGCTGAGGGCTGAGGGCTGAGGGCGAGCCCCGCGCTGCTCAGTTTTTCCTTCCAGGCAGGGCGGGGTGAGGGGCAGGGCCTGTTCTCCCGCCATGCAGAGGAATGAGTGGAGTTTTCCAGACTGTTCTCTTGATAGGTGTTGCCATAGTTGCAGCTTTGCCCTCGGGGAGCTGGTCGGCTGCAGGCCGGCCCCAGTGGCAGGCCAGCCTGGGGACCATTTTCATTATCCCTGTACTGTAGCCCTACTAAGTGCTGTCAGCAGTGGGGCTAAAGTGAGGAGAGTGTGTATTCTCCCCTCCTCTCCCGGCCCCGGCACGCACGCACACGTGCACACGCACACACACGTGCACACGCACACACACACGCACGCCAAATGACGTGTGACCCAGGTGATTCTCTGGCATTGGGCACCTTTCTGAGTGGAGTCTGGGGTCTTCTCCTGGGGAATCGCACATTGCTTTACAATTTTTTTCGAATCTACGTACGCACTGTAAAGACGAAATTGACACCTCCCCTCCCCCAGGGCCCTCCCTCTGGAATACTTCTTGTTGTTTCCATGGAAAGAGGCTTAGAATGTGAAAGTCTGCTATGGGTCTGGGGACAGCTGAGCACATCACATCTCCGTGTTACAACTTCACCTGTCCGTTTGCGAGTTTTGTAATGCCCTGTGACCGCGGTCGCCCCAGGGGACAGATGGAGTGAATCTGGACTGACACACATGCTCATAGACAGAGAGAGAGGTTTGCCATCCCGGATGGGCACTTTGCTTCCTTCTGTTCCCTGCAGCGTCAGAGGTTCTTAGAGCTGCCTGTCCTTAGAGGTCCGTTTCTTTAACCCACAGGTTGGAAGGCTTCTCTTAGGAATTAGGAACCGTCACTGTGGCAGATACGGTGGGTGCGCATGCCAACTCCTAGTGTGCAGAGGCTGGAAAATGGAAATCTTTATTTTCCAGACTCCCTTGCAGTTCAGGTTTTGACGTGAACGAGGTTCTGCTCATTAGATGCGCTTCTTTGAGACTCGGACGCGGGAGCCAAGCTCTGTGTGAAAGGGGCAGGGAGATGGTGTCCGCATTTGCGCATGTGGACTGTGGCGTGGGCTGCGTGGTTC